TGCCATCTGCACTCATAACGTCCGGTCTACCGCTACGGCCAACAGCATTAGAGTAGTCCGAAAAGAAAAAAAAAAAAAAGCTTTCATCACCCATTCCGCTGACCGCGCGCGCGCACGTATGTGCTCGCTAGTCCCGCCGCCGTCTCGCTGTCTACCGCTCCCTCGAGCAACCCGCCGCGCGCGCGCACGTAGCGCAGTTACGTTCGCGCGTTCTTATTCTTATATTTCGCCGCGTGTTAGGTGCACTCGGTGCACCCAGCGTGGCTCGGGGCCTCCGTGTCCCGCGCCGATCGCGGCCGACCGCGCTCTCGGCATCCGTTCCGACACAGTGCTACCGGACTTTCCGCGTGTGTAGTGTTGTGTTGTGAGGACTGAAGGAGGAACTCTCTTCGTTCAAGTGAAGTGTTGTGTGTGGACGTTCAGTGGCACGGACTGTCGTGAGTTAGGGAGGTGCGTCACGCCTATTGCGCGATGCGCCGATCCGAGCCGCCGCCGCTGCCACCAACACCCGCCGACGCCTGCCGCCCGCCGCCGACGCCACCAAGTAGGTTCGCTTAGGTACACATTTTTCACTCAATAAGATTAGTGATCTTACATATAGGGGCACATATCAATAGGCACCCAGCCCCCTACCTGACCCAGCAGGGAGGCCCCCGCTGACACCGTCGGCTGCACCCGCCGACGACCGTCCTTATCTTAAGTACTCTTATCTCATTTTTATATTGTTATCTCTATTCTTTGTGTAATATTTTTATATTGTTATTCTATTTCTTTGTGTATACCATTCTATGAAAAATGTCCTTATCAGAGGCCGATATGCCTCTGTTCTTCCAGTTCCTGGAAAAAAAGTGTCCCGGCATCTTAAATGCTTTTATAGCATTCAAAGCCGCCAAGCCTGTGCACTTAGTGTACAGCTCGCCCCCCGAGTCCCCAATGATAACTCAGACTGACACTAACGAATTCGAGGACGATTCCCAACGGCTCCCGCCGCTTCCCCCGACCCAAGCCGACCAGGCCGATCCCGCCTCTCCGTCCATGGAGCAGGACGACTCCGTCGCGGAGCTTGACGCTCCTAGTATGGAGCTCGACGCCATCCGCGACGGCGACGTCCCCTCTCCCATCCCCCCGGTCTCCTCAGACGAGGACGATTTTATCGTTGTTGGCAGCAAGCGTGCCAAGAAGACCCAGGGCTCCCAGCCAGCCAAAACAAAGCGTGCCCATGACGGTACCGCTAAAACCGCCCCCGGTCCGAGTGCACGCAAGTCGCACCCCGAGACCAAAGCCCCGCCCCCCGTCATCATCCAGGACAAAAGTGCCTGGAACACCGTATCCAATATGCTTAAAAACAAGCATATCAATTTCAGCCATGCTAAGGCTACCTCACTAGGGATCAAAGTATCAGTCCCATCATCTGACGACCATCGTCGTCTCACCACCTTCCTGCGGGAGAAAAACATAGGTTATCACACCTATGCTCTCGAGGAAGAGAAAAAGCTCCGCGTTGTAATACGCGGTTTACCCAAGGAGCTCTCAACAGACTCCATCCTTGAGGACCTTCAGTCCCAGAATTACCCAGCGCACGAGGTACATCGTATGTACCAGTCGCGCTCACGCAACAAGGCCGCTATCGACCTTGTTCTAGTTGTATTAGACTTATCCCCAGAAGGCAAATCGATCTTTGATATAAAGAGCGTTTGCCAACTATCCTCACTCTCCGTAGAGGCGCCTCGCAAGCGTACCTACCCCGGACAATGCCACCGTTGTCAGAACTACGGGCACTCTGCCCGTAATTGTTTCGCTCGCCCACGGTGCGTCAAGTGCCTAGGCGATCACGCCACCGCAGATTGCGGCCGTAGGCCCAACACCCCACGCCCCCCAGTTGCACCCTCTGCCTCACAGAGGGTCACACCGCGAATTACCGCGGTTGTTCACGCGCCCCACGTCCCGCCAAAAAGAAGGCCACCCACACCCAGGGCAACCGTGCTCCGGCACGTGCCCCCGCCAAGGCTCAAACACAACCCGAGCCACTCGTACCCGCCCCTCTGCCTGCTAACAATGCCTGGATTAAACCCCCGGCAATTGTAAGCAAGGTAGCGGCCCCACCCCCCCCCCCCAGAAAGCCCCGCCCGCCCAATCGGCCCCGCCCATGCCCATACACAAACCCGTCCCCAAAACACTGCCCGCGGCCCCCAAGGCCAACGGCAGCTCCCTCGCGCAGGACTTCGCATTGGTCGCTCGCCAGCACCATCGACCCTAACGAGATTGCCCTTCTGGCCTCCAAGCTCCGCCTGTATAAGGAGTCGCCCCAAAATAGGCTCGCAGCCGTCTGCGAGCACATCGGCGTACTTACCGCCATCCTCAATTTTAACCTGTAATTATGGGTACTCGAGCTCAGAGAGAAAAGCCTCGGTCCGTTCGAATAGCGTTTTTTAACGCGTTCGGATTAAAAAAAACAAAAGGAGGAAATCGCCTCCTTTCTCACTGACCACCAAGTCGATATTCTCCTCGTGCAGGAGACCCTACTGAAACGTTCAGTCCGCGATCCTAGAATCGCCAATTACAACTTAGTTAGGAACGACCGCACCGCCTGTAGAGGCGGCGGTACGCTCATATACTATAAACGGTCCCTACATTGTATACCGCTACAAACACCGCCTCTCACTCATATGGAGGCCTCCGTCTGTCTTCTCGGCATGACCGGCCACCGACCGCTCGCCGTGGCATCCGTATATCAGCCTCCCGGCAAACTACTGCTGGAAAGCGACCTACGCGCCCTCCTAGATATCAACAGCGCCACCATTCTGGCTGGCGATTTGAATTGTAAACACACCCGCTGGAACTGCCACGTGTCCACGACAAACGGCCACAAACTAGACAGACTAGCCGACTCGCTCGAATTCGAGATAATCGCCCCGCTCCGCCCTACTCATTATCCCCATAACGTGAACCACCGACCCGACATACTGGACATGGCACTGCTGAGGAACGTAACCCTACGGGTGAGCTCCCCAGAAGTCAATGCCGAGCTTAACTCGGACCCTCGACCGGTAACCCTCCTTCTGGGCCCTCCGCCCGACACGCCACTACCAACCAAAACAATAACAGACTGGCAACGACTCGAGAAATCTCTCGAATCGACCGACACACCGATACTAAACCGTATTCCCGACGTCATAGAGTCCACCGAGGACACTCTCATTGCGATCGACTCGCTTACTAACCACCTGCAGTCGGCAGTCAAGGACTGCTCCAGGGAGGTACCGGCGACGGACGACCGTCGCTGGCAGCTCCCCGATGACGTAAGGAGGTTAATAAGCGATAAAAACGCAGCCACTAGAGCGTACGATCGCTACCCCTCCGAACCGAACCGGGTGCGCCTGCGAGCCTTACAGCGTAGCGTTAAGGAGCGCATCGCGCAGATCCGGGACGGCCGGTGGGGCAAGCTCCTAGAAGAGATAACGCCATGCCACACCGCGTACTGGCGCATAGCGAAATCTCTCAAAACCGACCAACAGACAAACGACATGCCCCCGCTAGTCCGACCCGACAACACTATAGCCTTCTTCGACGAAGATAAGGCTGAGTGTCTAACGTCCAACTTAGAAGCCCAATGCTCCCCCAGCACGCTCCCAGTCGAGGCAGGTCATCTCGAGAAGATAGACACCGAAGTCGAACGCATCGCGTCCACCCCGCCTACCGAATCTCTCTCACCAGTCACGCTTGATGAGGTCAAAACGCTAGTTAAACAACTACCTATCAAAAAATCACCCGGCTCAGACGGCATATCCAATAGGTTAGTCAAAAGTCTACCATCCCAACTTTTAGTATTACTCGTCGCTATTTTTAACGCGGCGCTGTCGAACGCTATATTTCCAGACAGCTGGAAAGAAGCCGTGGTCATTGGCATCCCCAAGCCCGGTAAAAATAAATCCGACCCGTCCAGTTATCGTCCTATCAGCCTCCTCAAGGCTATAGGCAAGCTGTACAAGCGACTCCTCCTCGCCCGCCTAAAAGAGTTTATACACTCCAAAGGCCTGCTCATCAATGAGCAGTTTGGCTTCCGAGCCAAACACTCATGCGTCCATCAAGTGCACCGCATCACGGAGCACATTCACAAAAACACTCTGTACTTCGCCACCAAGTCCCCCAAAGGCGGTACAGGCGTCCTATTTTTCGATGTGGCTAAGGCTTTCGATAAAGTCTGGCACAACGGCTTGATTTACAAGCTTCATCAATTAGGTGTCCCCGACAGGCTAGTACTCATTGTACGAGATTTCCTGTCGAATCGCTCTTATCGCTACCGTATAAACGGAGCATTATCCGACCCGCACCCCATACGAGCCGGCGTCCCTCAGATAGCGACACAAAAAAAGTATCGATACTTTATGGTATCGAGTAGGTTTCTTTTCGATACCGATACTTTTGTACTCGATACTTTGTAGTCGATACTTTTACTTAACAAGTACTTTTGACAGATATCGTATCGAATAAATTACTTTTTTTTTATTTATTCATTTTATAATTTATGGCAACATTAGCAACGCCATCTTGTTAAATCTTGCTGAAGCTTTCATTCATAGAGTTAGTTCCGTTGCCGGTAGGTTGCCGGATTCACATTTCACTTGTTTAATTAGTCTATGGTTCATTGGCTGTACTGTAGCTGTATGGGCTTAGATCCCTTTGCCTACATTTTGATATTTATCGATTTTCTTGCGTTATTGATAAATGATAATTGACTTATTGATATTTCAACCTATTCAGAACAGCACTCACAATTATTCTGTGTTTGTATCAGAATTTGAATCATTGCAATATCCAAAGAATGCCGCCTACCAAGAGTGACGTTTGGCAGTATTTCGTCAAGATTAACAAAGGCGAAGTGAAATGTAAGATTTGTTTCAAAACCTTAAAATCGTCAGGGAATACGTCAAACATGAAAAAACATTTAAAGAAACACCCTAATTCTGATGCCTCAAGGTAATTTTTTTTAATGATTATATGGTCCTTATTTATATAACCTAAAATTTGTTTTGTAGTAATTTAATAGGCGCACGAAACTGATTATTTTATATATTCTTTTTAGTGTAAAAGGAGATAAAAAACAAACGACGATGTCGACGATTCAGAAAAAGTTAGAACTGTCGAATTTACCGAGTCGTGATCACGAACCCCAACCATCAACAAGTACATCGAAAGCACCTGAATCAGATACATTGTTAACAACTCCTTCACCATCTGATGTCGAGAGAATTCCAATAGTAATCAGTGGTGATGGTGAGTTAGAAGAAACCTATGCACCACTTCCAAAAAAAAGGCAACTTTCAATTGTACAATCAATGGAACGAAAATACTCTTATTTGGATGGAGGAAAAGATTATTTGAAACTCTGCAAATGTTTGCTTTATTTTATTTGCGTTGATAAAAGACCGTTTGACATTGTGAAAGGGCGTGGGTTTAAAAAATTGATGCATCAAGCGTGTCCATCATTTAAAATTCCTCATGTAGATACCCTTAAAGCACAATTCGAACACTTTTATAGTGTAATGCGTTTGAAAGTAGAAAATATATTTGACAATACATTGTCAAATATATTTTCTACTTTCAAACGCATCTACGTGATCTACAGATCACGTGGCATTAACCTACGATATTTGGAGTGAGATGATGACTGTTACCAGTTATTTAGGGGTTACTGCTCATTATTTGCAAGAAGACAAACTGGTGTCACGTTGTATAGCTACCGTTGCACTGGATCAGCGTCATACTGGTGATTTTATCGCTGAAAAATTAAAAGAAATTTGTGCAGGTATACACATCAGTTTGGATAAAATAACTGCAGTAGTTACAGACAATGGCTCGAACATAATAGCCGGCATAGCAAATTTTCTAGAAAAGAACAAACATTTACCTTGCTTTGCTCATACAATTAATCTAATCGCTGAATCTGCCATGTGAGTCAATGATTTAGGAGCATTAGTAAGCAAGGTACGAGACATTGTAAAATTTTTCAAGAACAGTGTAATCCTCAGTGACTCTTTACGTCAAAAACAAACTGGGTCTCAACCTCTCAAACTGATTTTAGACGTGAAGACTCGGTGGAATTCCGTCTATTATATGCTACAGAGATACATTGAATTAGCACCAATAGTTAATCAAATTTTGATGTTAAATACAAAAGCACCACCCACACCATCGGCTGTAGAAATGCAAAATATTAAAACATTGATTTGTATTTTGAAACCGCTGGAGTATGTAACCAAAGAGTTATCAGGTGAACAGTATGCAACCATTAGTAAAATAATTCCGATGGTGAACTGTTTGAAGACGCAGATTAATAATATACCTATGGCTGTAGGTGATGGTGATGGTCCCCATGGAAGGGTAATAGATACAGTAAAAAAAGAAATCCTAAAACAGATAGAACGCCGATTCGGACATATTGAAGATAATTATTTGATTGCAATGTCATGTTTGCTAGATCCGAGATTCAAGAATATCCATTTTCAGGACGCTAAAGCTTGTGCAAAGGCAATTTCTTTACTGAGAAGATATATAACAACGTCTCCTAGTGTTATCGGCAGCGATCATGACAGCGATTCCTCTCTTGAAACAACTTACGATTTTTGGAGTCACCACAAGAAATTAGCTCACATGAAAAAGCGATGTAAAACCAGTTCTTCATCACAGTTTGAAAATAAGGATGAAATAATTATTTATCAACACAGGTTTCGCCACTTTCTTTGGATCCTCTGAAACAATGGGAAGATATGAAAGTTGTTTTCCCAAAATTATATAAATTGGCACAAGAATTTTTATCGATTCCTGCGACTTCAGTGCTCTCAGAAAGATTGTTTTCGAAAGCTGGAAGTACAATTACTAAAACCCGTAACCGCCTATCGCCAAAAAGGCTCGACGAACTTCTTTTCTTGAGCGATTGTACCGAGGAGGAATGGGATTTATAATATTTTAGATTAAAAAATTGTGGCTTTACTTACAGGTTGTTTTTATTTATCTTATAAATTGCCATTTGTTATTTTTTCATTTTCTCTTACTGTATAGGTACAGACGATACTTACTGATTTTGACAAACTAATGTATGGCGTACCGCCTGAGAAAAGAACTCGATACTTTGAGGTATCGATACTTTTGTGTCGATTCTTTTACGAGTACGATACTTTTTTATCGCCAGACGTATCGATACTTTCTATTCGATAAAGTCCTCTCCGTATACACCAACGATCCCTAAATTCTCAGACTTAAAAGTCGAAATATGGTTCCGTCGCCAAGTCCCGGCGCTTCAGAAAGCCGTAACGATACTCGGCGAATGGTTCCGTCGGTGGCGCATAGAAGTCAATCCCGAAAAAAGTGCAGCAGTGTACTTTAGCAGGGAATTCGACTCTATGAATCACCCAATCGAACTATTCGGCCAAAACATCCCGTGGGTTTCGAAAACGAAATATCTCGGCGTCACCCTAGATAGGAAACTAACGTTTCGTCCTCACATCAAGCGTGTCCGCGACCGAGCCGCCTTTATACTAGGGCGGCTCTATCCTTTTATTAACAAGCACAGTAAAATGTCGTTTCGCAAGCTGACATTATACAGGGCTTGCATCCGTCCCATCATGACTTACGCTAGTCCCGTATTCGCCCACATACCCTACTATTTAATCAACAGACTACAGATCATACAGAATAGGTTTCTGCGTCGAGCCACCGGTGCGCCGTGGTTCGTTCGCAGCGTAGATCTCCACCGCGATCTTAATCTGCCCTCCATCAAGGAGTTTATGAAGGAAGCATCTCGACGCTACTTCGATTCTGCCCAATCCCACCCTAACCCGCTTATAGTCGGTGCGGTCGACTACGCACCGAGGAGTAATATCCGATATACGCGACAACGTCGCCCGAGGCACGTTCTCATTGACCCCCACGACCCCATAACGGCAGGTAACCTCCCCACGGGCCCACCCGTTCCACCCCGACCACACTTTTACACACACACACGACACCGTCCTCGCCGGCGAAGACGACGACCTCAAACACTCAATATCGCGCATTCAACCGGGCGCCTGCGCGCGCCGGGCGCTCAGCGGCGGCGGGGCGCCGGCAACCGAACGGGAGGCCACCACCGGCGCCCCTCCGATCGATCCCCCGTCCATATTCAAACGGGGATCGATTAATTTACGACGGCCTGAGCCGAGGTTCGAACCCCTGCAATCTAATAATTAAATTTTGAGTGGTGCCCCACTCAGACTAAAAAGTCGTATCCATCGGGCAGGAGTTGGCCTTCAGCCGCTCCATAAGTCCTTCCGCGGGTTTGGAGTGCCATCTGCACTCGCCCCATAACGTCCGGTGAAGCTGTACGCACCGGCCAGCTACGGCCAACAGCATTAGAGTAGTCCGTTTAAAAAAAAAAAAAAGCTTTCATACACACATTCCGCTGACCGACGCGCTAGCAGTTATAAACACACACGATTATTTAAATATGTTTGCTCGCTAGTCCCGCCGCCGTCTCGCTGTTCTCTGCTCCCTCGAGCAACACACCGCGCGCGCGCACGTAGCGCAGTTACGTTCGTGCGTTCTTATTCTTATACTTCGCCGCGTGTTAGGTGCAGCGCGGTGCACGACTAGCGTGGCGAGCCCGGGGCCTCCGTGTCCCGCGCCGACCGCGCTCTCGGCATCCGTTCCGACACAGTGCTACCGGACTTTCCGCGGGTGTAGTGTTGTGTTGTGAGGACTGAAGGAGGGACTCTCTTCGTTCAAGTGAAGTGAAGTGTTGTGTGTGGACGTTCAGTGGCACGGACTGTCGTGAGTTAGAGAGGTGCGTCACGCCTATTGCGCGACGCGCCGATCCGAGCCGCCGCCGCTGCCACCAACACCCGCCGACGCCTGCTGCCTGCCGCCCTCCGCCGACGCCACCAAGTAGGTTCGCTTAGGTACACATTTTTCACTCAATAAGATTAGTGATCTTACATATTAGGGTCACATATCAATAGTAGGCACTCAGATAATCGCCCCCTGCCTCACCCGGCAGGGAGGCTCCCCCCATGCCGAGCTGACACCGTCGGCTGCACCCGCAGACGACGAGAAATCTCTCGAATTGCGATACTCCTTATCTTAAGTACTGACTTACCCTATTGTTTTATTGTATTGTATTGTTATTGTATTGTTTTATATTATTATTTCTATTCTTATTCTATTCTTTTGTGTTAATTACCACTGTTTAAAAAATGTCCTTATCAGAGGCCGATATGCCTCTGTTCTTCCAGTTCCTGGAAAAAAAGTGTCCCGGCATCTTAAATGCCTTTATAGCATTCAAAGCCGCCAAGCCCGTGCACTTAGTGTACAGCTCGCCCCCCGCGTCCCCAATGATGACTCAGACTGACACTGAAGAATTCGAGGACGACTCCCAACGGCTCCCGCCGCTTCCCCCGACCCAAGCCGACCAGGCCGAACCCGCCTCTCCGTCCATGGAGCAGAACGACTCCGTCGCGGAGCTTGACGCTCCTAGGATGGAGCTCGACGCCATTCGCGACGGCGACGTGCCCTCTCCCATCCCCCCGGTCTCCTCAGACGAGGACGATTTTATCGTTGTTGGCAACAAGCGTGCCAAGAAGACCCAGGGCTCGCAGCCAGCCAAAACAAAGCGTGCCCATGACGGTACCGCTAAAACAGCCCCCGGTCCGAGTGCACGCAAGTCGCACCCCGAGACCAAAGCCCCGCACCCCGTCATCATCCAGGACAAAAGTGCCTGGAACACGGTATTCAATATGCTTAAAAATAAGCACATCAACTTCAGCCATGCTAAAGCTACCACACTAGGGATCAAAGTAACAGTCCCATCATCTGACGACCATCGTCGTCTCACCACCTTCCTGCGAGAGAAAAACATAGGTTATCACACCTATGCTCTCGAGGAAGAGAAAAAGCTCCGCGTTGTAATACGCGGCTTACCCAAGGAGCTCTCTACAGACTCCATCCTTGAGGACCTTCAGTCCCAAAATTACCCAGCGCACGAGGTACATCGTATGTACCAGTCGCGCTCACGCAACAAGGCCGCTATCGACCTTGTACTAGTCATATTGGACTTATCCCCAGAAGGCAAATCGATTTTTGACATAAAGAGCGTTTGCCAACTATCCTCTCTCTCCGTAGAGGCGCCTCGCAAGCGTACCTACCCCGGACAATGCCACCGTTGTCAGAACTACGGGCACTCTCCCCGTAATTGCTTCGCTCGCCCATGGTGCGTTAAGTGCCTAGGCGATCACGCCACCGCAGATTGCGGCCGTAGGCCCAATACCCCCACGCCCCCCAGTTGCACCCTCTGCCTCACAGAGGGTCACACCGCGAATTACCGCGGTTGTTCACGCGCCCCACGTCCCGCCAAAAAGAAGGCCACCCACACCCAGGGCAACCGTGCTCCGGCACGTGCCCCCGCCAAGGCTCAAACACAACCCGAGCCACTCCTACCCGCCCCTCTGCCTGCTAATAATGCCTGGATTAAACCCCCGGCAATTGTAAGCAAGCAGCACCCAACCCGCCCGCCCAATCGGCCCCGCCCATGCCCGTACACAAACCCGTCCCCAAAACACTGCCCGCGGCCCCTAAGGTCAACGGCAGCTCCCTCTACTCATTATCCCCATAACGTGAACCACCGCCCCGACACGGGTGAGCTCCCCAGAAATCCATGCCGAGCTTAACTCGGACCATCGACCGGTAACCCTCCTCTTGGGCCCTCCGCCCGACAGTTATTTCGATTGTTTTTGTTTTCTCTTAATTTAAATTATGTGTGATGAATATAAAGTATTAGAGTTCTTGAAAATGGACGCTATGTGTGAAAAACAGGCAAAGAAAGTGAAAAGACGGCGACTACATGACCTATCAAACCCATTTAATATAGACAATGCACAATTTGTAAAACGTTACAAACTAAATAATGATTTGGTGCGTAACTTGTGTGATGAGCTTAGGAGTCTTATACCGGGATCAACAAAATCTACGGTTCTATCAATGGAAACCAATGTCTTTAATAAAATGTACTCTAAAACAAACGGCCTACTGGTGACATTGCTGCTCATTCTATAGCCTAGCCAACGGTGTCTAATATCATTAGGCAAATCACCAATTTATTGAATTTATCCAAGATCCAAAGTAAATATATAAAATTACTAAAAAAATCTTTTTATAATTATATACTTACCTACTGTTATTGCTGCAACTATATCTATGAGTACATACCATAAGATACTGTGAGAATAAACATGCTAAAATGTAAGCACCCAAGTAAAACCTAGAAAGCAGGTATGCGAGTATACAAGTATGCAACATTATTATGGTATGCAGTCTTTACTTTCCCCAGAGTACAAATTAAATTATATTTTTTCTGACATGGAGATTATAAATGTGGATGCTAGCGATGTTGGAACTAGTCATGACTTCTACATTTGGGCAAACTAGCCATTACAATTTAACAATATGCGCGTTCAGATGTGCACGTATTGTTTTAATTAAATATATACAGATCAATTTTTTGGCGCGGCGCACGCCGTGCTAGTAGCGAAGGCCATGTGTGATAGAGTTGTGGTTAACGAGCTCATTGAGTGCCTGAACCAAAAACTTGACAAAATTAATACAGTACAGATAATTGTTTAGTCCTGTTTTAAATAAGCGCTACGATGTTTAAAACAGGATCAGCTTTCAATTTACTACAAAATTACCTACAAAGAAAATGAGTATAACATTTTTTCACTTAGAAACAAAAGAAAAAAAAACTTGACAAAATTCACAAATTTGACAAAATGAAACGAAAGATCTCGAAGAACTAATTAAAAAAAATTGATAGGTACCTAATTTTAATACTAGTTTTTTTTTAAAAGATAAATTAAGATTTCATTTATTTTATATACTTTAGATTAGATTTAGATTTTATATACTATAATTTTTGTACCCGATTTTTGATGATTCT